GTCAAGATACAGAAGCACTGTAAGCATCCATCAGTGGATGAATGGATAAAGAAAATGTCTCTCTCTCTCTCTCCCACACACACACACACACACACACACACACACACGACTACTATTCAGCCATGAAAAAGAATGAAATCTTGCCATTTGTGACAACATGGGTGGGCCTGGAGGGCACATTAGGCTAAGTGAAATAATTTGGAGGAAGACAAGCACTGGGTGATTTCACATATATGTGGAATCTGAAAACAAGCTCATCGACAGAAGAGCCTGGTAGTTGCCAGAGGCGGGGGGTGGATGAAAGGAGTCAAAAGGAAGAAACTGCCAGTAATAAAGTAAGTCCTGAGGATGTAATGTACAGCGTGGTGACTACAGTTAGTAATAGTGTATCCACATGTGAAAGTTGCTGAGACAGAAGATCTCAAAAGAAAAAACAACCTGTTACCGATGTGGCAGACGTTAACTACACTGGTCAGACTTGCCGCGGTCTATTCACAATGTACACACACGTCATCATGTAGCACACCTGAAACTAATATAATGTATGTCAATTGCCTCAACAATAATAGCAATAATAATAATTATTATTATTATTCTTACTGTAGTCAAAAACATTAGGTAATCAAATAATTCTGTCCCCTGGCCTCTCTTGGAGACATACCGCCTACAGCCCTCCATCCTCCTGTTCCGACGCGGAACGCCTGCTCTCTTGGCCGGCTACACAGCTGTCACCCTGAAATGTGACTCTGGAACATTCCTTCATCGGCTTCCCGGGATCTGCCTTTAGTACCCTCCTGTCTCTTCAATACTATCACCACTCTCTTTCTCACTTTACTCCCTTGTTTTACTGGAGCAGATCCTTGAGAAGCTTGCTGAAAGCAGATGCAGGGAAGGGGGCCATTGCAGAGACCCTACAGAAATGCAATACGTTTACTCTGGGCTCCCTCTAGGCACAAAGAATTCAATGGCTGACCACGGAATTTGAGGTCGAAAGCAGTGTTTTCAACTCCTCTCCTGGAGTGCAGCGTTGCTACTGTGCAATCCAATACCAACGATTTATTTGATCCACATTTTCTCTCCGAAAGCTTTTAGGACTCTCTCCTCCTCCAAGCTGTTCTGAAATTTTACATTTACATATTTTTTTAATTTGAAGATCTCACTGGCTTTATTAAATGATTCATTCATGAATCAGGCAGCATCCCAGCTAGAAAACAGAGGGGTGATCTAAGAAGTTGTGCAAAAACATTCACATGCCATGATGTGGGTTTAATTTTTCTTTTCAGTGATTCCACAGACATGGGGCGGGACCTTCTAACCTGAAAGCTTATGAACTACAGTCCTGGAAAATTATGCTACATCATTAATCTGACCATTTTCTCCTGTTTTTTTAAATGTTGATGTTTTAGAGAGAGGGGGGGGGAGGGAGGGAAAGAAGAGCATGAGTGGGGGGAGGGGCAGAGAGAGAGGGAGACACAGAATTCCAAGCAGGCTCCAGGCTCTGAGCTGTCAGCATGGAGCCTGATGCGGGGCTCGAACTCATGAACTGTGAGATCATGACCTGAGCTGAAGTCAGATGCTTAACTGACTGAGCCACCCAGGTACCCTTAATCTGACCATTGTCTTCTGTTTTCTCTGTTCTCTGTCCAATATTCCTATTATTTAATGTCTAACCGGCTGGTCTGCCAGAAGTTTCTCTCAGTGCTATCTTCCACTCTTTTAGTGAATTATTTATTTCCACCTTATTTTTAACTTCCCAGGCTTCTCTGTCATTCTCCAATTATCACTTTACCACAGCACTAGGTCTTGTTCCGTGAATAAAACAAGACATTCCATGATTTGAGCCACCAATTTGAGTCTTCAAGTTTATAGTCTCTTCCTCTTCCAGACGCCTTTTCTATTGTTGTTGCTGTTGTTAAGGCCTTTTGTAACGGAGACTCTCCAGACACGTCCAGGGATCCTGGCTCTCCTTTCTTATTTCGGACTAAGACAGCTATGTGTAGACAAATGGAGCTTTACAACAGGCACGCCTTACTACTAAGTGAGCTGAACTCTGAGGCGCCTGGGTGGCTCAGTCGGTTAAGCGTCCGACTTCGGCTCAGGTCATGATCTCACGGTTCCTGGGTTTGAGCCCCATATCGGGCTCTGTGCTGACAGCTCAGAGCCTGGAGCCTGCTTCACATTCTGTGTCTCTCTCTCTCTCTCTCTGCCCCTCCCCTGCTTGTGCTCTGTGTCTCTCTTTCTCAAAAATAAATAAACATTAAATATTTTTTTTAAAAAATTGAGCTGAACTCAGAAACTTGGGGAGGGGAGCCAACTACCGTATCGGTCAGCCTGTTTCTTAGCCTGGTTTCCTGAGAATAGATGCTTCAAACTGTACTCATTTACAGGGGTGTGAAAGTCTGCGGGGGGCAATTAATGATGCTGAGGGTGTCCCTAAATGGTATGTGGCCCTATCCTCTGTCCTAGCCTATATCTTATGAGTTCAAGCCCAGAGTTCACCTTTTCTGGAGAGTAGATCTCCCATATTCTTCCAGGCAGGGAAGGGCAGAACCTGGCTGTGTGGTGTGGGGGAAAGAATCTGGGGATACAGCTGCAATCCCCGTTTCCCAATCTACCTCCCAGCCATCAGAAGTACCCAGGGCCTCCAAAGCCTGAGTCTCTGGGGTTCTGAGATGTGACTGGGCTGCATTCTTCAGCTCTTCCCACCCCACCGCACCATATGCAGGAGGCGGGGTCCCAGCCTCATCCAGTTTTCTGTCAGTGACCACTCACCCCTCCTCCTTCGATCTTCCAAAATTGTGTAGGTGTTTCTTCCTTGACGTCATCCCCTAACGTGCTCTGTTGTCCCTTGTAGATTACCATCCTCTCCAGTTCCTTCCGATCATCTTAGTAAATAAAGTTCCAGGAGGGGCCAGATGCAGGTCGTATGTTCAAGACACCATGCTAAGTTAACAGAGCGCGACTGAGCTACGCGCCCCCCCCCCCCCCCCCCCCGCCCCGAGCTCGCCATGTTTTTCTTTGTGCCCCCAACTCTGCTGTTGTTCTGGTGCCTGATCCATCCGTATCTTTCTCCCTTTGACCCTTCATGGGGTGAAAGGGTTGAGATGAAGTTCAGGCATCACGCTGTGTACGTCACTGGCTTGACACACACCACACAGACCACAATGTGCCAAATCAATCTGCCTACGAGTTTGCCTCCATCCCCAGAGAAGAAGTAAGCAGGCAAGGACTGCGTCTTTGCCGATATTCTGTCTCTAATATGGGGAAAACCATCTGGCACATAATAGGTGCTCACTAATATCTGTTCAACTGACCCACTTCCAGCAAGCTCCACGTTGGAAACATTTTCATTTCCAAAGGAGTGGAAAAAAAAAAAAAACAACAACCCACATTGCTCTGTTTATTTGCCAACATCCAAATAAGAAAGGCTAATCAGAGAGCACCAGGAGATGAAAACAGCCAGATGTGTTTGAGAGCAAAAGTCCAGGAACACAAAATAGCTTCCAACAGGGGTGATGTATGTTTTCTTAGCGATTCAAAATGAATATATGTTTATTAGGCAGAGAGAGAGAGATTTAACAGGTTTCTCGGCTAATGCTGCAATTTTAAATCCATTTAAGATAATTTTCTTTATCTTGAATCTATTTCTCTCAGTAACCAGGATACTTAACTGATTTGTACAAAATCCATTTGAAAAAAGGAATAATCTACTCTAAGCAAGGACACACTCTAAATGGGAAAAAGGAGATACTACAAATCTAACAGAAAACAAAGAACCCGTTAAGCCAACGTGGATGCCTCCCTAGAAAATAGGTTTTCCTCCAGCATCTTGATTCTATGACCAACCCCTCTTCTCCATTTCCCAAGGAGAAAACAAATGATTCCTGAATCTGAGCCCGCAGAACAAAGGCCTTTCAAGAGACAATCAAGATGCAAACCACTTGTTTAAAAGGTAAGACTCAATCAAAACAGTAGAAGTTGAAACAATCATGGAACATACTTTCTCACCCATCAGCTTGGCAAAGCGTCTTTGAAAGGCGAGTACCCAGTCTGGGAAGGGACAGGTACTATTCCAACTGGAGTGAGGACTGCCATAAACTTTCTAGAGGACAAGATCCCAAAATGTATCACCAGTCTCCAAACGTAGTCCTATGATATGCTACAAGGATTATACTTTTAAGAAGCGTGGATTGAGAAAATAAATACCAAATCACGACACATAAAGATTTGAGTGCGCAGACATCCATCAAATTGTTATTTATGAAACTGGTATTTATGGAAAACTGACAATAAACCAAATTTCCGAAAATGGAAATAATGATGATCATAATGAAGCATAATTAATAACATCAGAGAGTGCTCATGAAATAATATTAAGTGAAAAAAGGACACAAACAATATATCACATAATCATAAATCTGTATAGAAGGCGGACTCAAAGGCAATATACTAATATTTGACAAATTGCAGTCTCTAGGTAGAAATCATGGCGATTTTTGTTTTTTACTTAAAACTGAAGGTTTTAAGGTTGAGGACCTTCCTATACGTTTCTCGGTTCCTTTTATAAAAATTTAAATACTTTATTGGGGGCACCCGGGTGGCTCAGTTGGTTAAGCATCTGACTTCAACTCAGGTCACGATCTTGAGGTTCACGAGATCATCGGGCCCTCTGCTGTCGGTGCGGAGCTCGCTTTGGATCCTCTGTCCCCCGTCCCCACCCCCTCCCACCTGTCCTCACTCTCTCTCTCTCAAAAATAAACATTAAAAAAAAAAAAAAAAACAAGTAAGCAAACAATAATTATAAATTATTTTTTTTAATGTAAATGCTTTAGATCATATTTCATGGTCAACAGTACTTGGTCTGTTGACTGTGAAGGAGACTGAGTGAGATCAAAGCTCCTCTGCTAGTTACAAACAACATGAGAACATGTCACAGACTCAGGTCTACACCCAACCCTATGACGTGGCAAGTCGCTCTGAATGACCCAACCAGAACTTACTTGGTGGGACGATAATCCGGAATGGAACGATCCAGTGAAATTTTTTCACTGAGGTAGGAATTGTAGCCATACTTCTCATGGGGTCCCTTGGCTTTTTCTTCTTCGGCCGGGGAAAGGGTAGCGGGAAGGCCCCCTTTGCCCCGTCCCCCATAACCTTCGATGAGCCCAAGGGATTTGGATAAGCCTAGAAAAAGGAGGGAAAAAGAATTATTTGAAAACCACCACATCAGGACACATCACTCAAACTGAGCTATGGCTTTGATGGAAATTCTACCATTACCTGTCACAGAGAAATTTACGTCCCCAATTTATCAATCCAGGACTATGCCCTGAACGCATTCATAATGAGAGGAAGTTCAGGGCAACTGGGAGTTCTGGGGTTGAGTCTAATTCCCAAGAAGAAGCCTCTCCCTCCTTTGGGGAACAGACTGGACGGAGGTCTACAAAAGGGAAGAGATCATCTAAACTGGGAGCAACGCAGACCAAGAAGGACACACACAATGGGACAGAACTGAGGCTCAGCCAGGCCGGCTTTCCTTTCTCCGTGGGGCAATTACAAGGCTCCACATTCCACGAGATAGGCGTACGACACAGAATGAGAACAGCCAGTAACAAGGAACGGCCAACCCCGCAGGTGTTTTTGCTTCATTTGAACAGAGAATGACATACAGATTGATTTTATCATGAGTTTAAAGTGTGTAACAACCTGACACAGTTCTTTACCTAATGGTTTTATTTAAATTTCATCTAAATGGCAAAAGGAAATACAGAATGTTTGAGAACAAATCATAGACAGAAAAACCCCATAAGGGTGATAACTGTGCCAAGCAGAGTAGGAGGCCTCTGTAACAAGCCTCACTGAGCAATTGGAAGTTCCCAGAATGGTGGCAGCTTTATACCTACTGTTCCATTATACGATAAACAGCTTGATGGGCAATTTCGAAATCCAAGAGTTACGGGAGATTTTACTTCAGGCCTAGAAAACTTTTGTTGTTAAGGGCTCTCGTTCCCTTTTGCCATTTCAAATATTCAAGCCACTCAGCATACACTCAGGCATGCGCGCGGGCATGCTTGCGCGCACACACGCACACGCGCGCGCACACACACACACACACACACACACACACACACCACTTTATCCGTAAGAATCCCATTGCTGCCTCTGGCAGGAAGAGCACAGAGGAGAGATGTCAACCGTGCCCTCAGCTTTCATGATGGGCGGCCCATAAAGCTGAGGAGGATTTGAACCTCCCAGGAAGGCATCCCCAGACCAGTCAAAGGCCAACAAATCTGCTCCGGTCACAGAACGGGGCTCCGTCGCGTAATGGCAAGACTTTCCTGCTTCTCTGAAAACAGAAATGTCTTTTCTGTGAGATCAAGATCAAAAAGCAGAGGTCGAGCAAGCATCTCAGACGTGGTCGCAGGTGAACATCATTTTTCTACCTGAGAATCCTTTCCACTGTCCGCTATGACCTCCAGGCACCCTGACATCTTTCCTGCCTGCCATCATCCCAACAGAGGGGCCATCAACAGAGAACGAGATCATTCCAACACTTCCCATGGACTTCCCGATCTTTGAATTCTCATTCCACCCACCATCTGTGTGCCACTACTGTTCCAATAACCTCACCTTCACAATGTTCGAAAATCTCTAAGAATGCTTCCCACGTCAAGTAGGAACACCTGTGCTGGGTTTAAAACTCACTCATCGCAGAACATTCCTAGTAGGGACGTGACGTGGCACAGCTACTTTGGAAACCGGTCGGGCAGTTCTTCAAAACGCTAAAGCATCATTTGACCACGTGACCCAGCCATTCGGTCCTGGGTACAGACCGAAGAAAAATGGAAAGATCCGCCCACGCAAAAACTTGGACGGAAATGTTCGTAGGGGCATTATTCCCGTATGTCTGTCCCCATGTCTATCGACTGATGCATGAACACCCAAAATGCAGAACCACACCATGAGATACTATTAAGCAATAAAAAAGGAAGGAAATAGCGATGCACACTACAACACGGATGAACTTTGAAAACATTATGCCAAGTAAACAACGCTGGTCAGGAACGACCTATGTAGGTATGATTCTGTTCGTGTGAAATGTACAGAACAGGCAAATCCCCAGAGACAGAAAGTAGGTAAGTATCTGTTTCAGGCTGAGGGCATTGCGGTAGGCAACGGGGAGTGACTGCTAAGGTACGTGGGCTGTCTTTTTGGGTGGGGATGATGTTCTGGAGTTAGATTGTGGTGATATTTGCGTACCCTTGAGAATATACTAGAAGCCACAAAACTGTACCCCTTTAAGTGGATGAAGGGTATGGTATGCGAAGAATATCTCAATAAAGCTATAAGAGAAAACCCACTCTGTGATAGGCGATTCTGTTTCCAACAAGATGGAAGGCTAAAACAACATGAAAAGTCTCCCGTAATATACCGAGAAATGCCGAATAAAACCCTTTTAAGAATATTTTAGATGTGGGGCGCCTGGGTGGCTCTGTCGGTTAGGCATCCAACTTCAGCTCAGGTCATGATCTCACGATTCGCGAGTTCGAGCCCCGCGTCGGGCTCTGTGCTGACAGCTCGGAGCCTGGAGCCTGCTTCGGAGTCTGTGTCTCCCTCTCTCTCTGCCCCTCCCCCGCTCACACTCTGCCTCTGTCTCTCTCAAAAAGAAATAAAACGTGAAAACAAAATTTAAAGAATATTGTAGATGCATCGCTGAGCTCGCAGGAAAGAAAAGCGAACTCCCGCTGTACCTGAGGCTGTACCTGCTGAGATCGAGAGAAGGATGGACTGCTCCCTAACTAAAGATGTCTTGTAGAGCTCTAACCCGCACGGGATATGAGACCTTTTGTACACCTTAAACGTTTCATCATTTTTAACTATGGAGGTGCCGGGTTGAGTAGTGGACCCCTGAACTTTATTTGGAAATAGGGACACTGCATGTGTCAAGAGAAGAGAGATACAGACACAGAAGGAAGAAGGCCATCTGACAAAAGATGCAGATATTGGAGGATGCAAATGTAAGCCAGGGAATGTCAAGGATTGCTAGCAACTCCCAGAAGCTAGGAAGAAGCAAAGAAGGATTCAGAGGGCTGGCAAACACCTTGATATCAAACTTCTAGCCTCCAAGAGTATGAGAGAGGAAATTTCTGTGGTTTTTAGGCCACCGAGATTGCAGTCACTTGTTATAGCAACATCACGAAACTAATGCAATGAATATCAAAAAACAACCGGGGACACCTGGGTGGTTCAGTCGGTTGAGCGTCCGACTTCAGCTCAGGTCACGATCTCGCGGTTCTTGAGTTTGAGCCCTGTGTCAGCTCTGTGCTGACAGCTCAGAGCCCAGAGGCTGCTTCGGATTCTGTGTCTCCCTCTCTCTCTCTCTGCTCCTTCCCCACTCACGCTCTGTTTGTCTCTCTCAAAAATAAATAAACATTAAAAAATCTTTTAAAAAACTTGTAGGATAGTGCTAAAGCAATACTTGGAAAGAACTATATAACCTTAAATGCATATATTGGGGGGGGTAGACTGATAATTAATGTGGTAAGCATCTAACCTGAGGAGTTAGGAAAATAGAGGCAACCCAAAGAAAGCAATAATAGACAAAAGAACAGAAATAAATGACTGCACGCACATAAAAGAAAGACAGCAAGGAAGGAAGGAAAAAGTGGAAGGGAGGCATGGAGAGAGGAAAGGAGGTAAAGAGGAAGGAAGGAAGAAAGGGAAGAGGGGGAGAGAGTGGCAGAGGGAGGGGAAAGGGAAAAACTAAAAGAAAAGAAAAGGTGGGGGGAGTAACTTCAGCAAGACTAGATCAGGATAGATAATGGATGGATGGATCGATCGATTGATCAATCACTCAGTCAACTGAGAGATAGATAGATAGATGGATAGATAGATAGATAGATAGATAGATAGATAGATAGATAGATAGACGGGTGGATGGATGGATGGATGGAGGGATAGATAGATAGATGGATAGATGGATGGATGGATGGATGGATGGATGGATGGATAAATGGATGGATAGATAGATAGATAGATAGATAGATAGATAGAAGGCACATGTACCCTTTACAGAAGATTTATCTATTCATCACAGTAGACACAGAGCCTAGAGTCACTTTTAGGGGCCCAGGAAAATGTTTAAATTTCTTTTAAAATCAAAACAACATAGTTATAAAATAGAATTTCTGATACCATCTTTAATGGAGGAAGAAACTCACGAAGGCCAAAGCACCTAGAGCCCACAAAAGTCATTTTGTGCCCTTTATTCCCTTGAGGTTAGATTCTTATCTATAAGTGACGGGGCCTAAAGCATAGAAAAGCAAAGTAACAAGACTAAGGCATAACTTACAAACTTCTCCTAGAAGGTGGATCGCACAAGGACAGACGCCAGTCACGAGCAGTAGGGGCAGCTACCATGGACAGAGGGGCATTTTCCGCGTGCTGGGCGCCCTGCTAAGTGCTTTTACATGTAGTGTACCACAATCTCTAGACAACTGCATGAGGAAGGTATTATTTAGATCTCTGTTTGACAAAGGAGGTCACTGAGTCTGAGAATGTAGGAACTTTGTCAAAGTTCCATAGTTGGTAATGGAAGGCAGACTGGGCTTCTGGATACAGTCAGAGATCCAAAGGAAGGCAAAACCCGGCCTCTGCGACAAAGAAGGGGACCAGTTCCAGGGCTCTTGCAGCAGCACACAAGAGACGCCGGGGACCTCGTTTTACGGCAGTGGTGACAGCGATCAAAAGGAGAGGAAAGATTTGGGAGATATTTAAGAGATCCCATTACAGGGCAGGAGACAGCAAGTGTTAGCGTGGGAAAGCGTGGGAAGAAGTGAGTGAGCCCGGCTTCCGGTGCAGGAACCGGGCGGTAACACCACTCACAAAGATGAGCCCCGTACTGCGTTTGCGGTCTCTGGGGCACCCGAGGGACATCCAGATAGACTCAGATGTCCCGTGTGGAGCTGAAACATAGGACCAGGGAAGTTCAGGTGGCAGACAAACCCAAGATATGAACCTGGAAGCCGCCGGCATGATAGGACCCACAGCCGCGACAGAGGGCAGGGGGGGAAAGGCTGGGGGCAGCTATCAAGCAGCAAGAAGGAGAAAGACAGATGATGCTCAGGAACTTCACGATATCTAGAGGAGGAATTGCATCCTTCAAAACTTCTATCTTCACCACT